GGATTCATGGCAGTGGGTCAACGATGATGGACTAGATTGCATGAACCAGATATGCACTCTGCATGTGCCGTGTTTGCAGTCTGCAGTGACTCTGCTCTCTCTCTCTCTCTCTCTCTCTCTCTCTCTCTCTCTCTCTCTCTCTCTCTCTCTCTCTCTCTCTCTCTCTCTCTCTCTCTGAGTAGGTGAAACTCCGACGAAACAGTTTGCCACAGCCCCTCGTTTGTTATCCTCTTCTCCCTCTTGTCCCTCTCTGCCTACAGTTTACCGGGCAGCTCTGTTTGACAACTTTGACTCTCTCTCTCTATATATATATATAGCCGCATGCAGAATGCAAATCTGTTCTTGTTGGTGAAACTCTGACCAAACAGTCTGTCACAGACACCATGCCCTGTGAACCGTAGGCAGAGGGGAGAAGAGGACAAAAAACGAGGGGCTGTGAGAGACTGCTTTGTCGGAGTTTCACCGACTCATCAGGAGGCTGAACCCTGTACAGGCTGCAGTCCCCTAACCAATGATACTACCTCCTTAACCCCAGTTAGTTGTGATTAAGTATCAAAGACTGCCCGGCAGCTGATACCCTGCAAGGAGTGAATTCTCTATCGTGGTTAAGGGAGCCCTTTGCTTTGGTTTTCTTCAGGCAGGTTGACCGGGCAGTGGTTGGGGCTGTCACTACGGGACCCCAGGCTGTGTTTTTCAGTGCCAGCGGTGTGTCTGGAGTGTATTTTCTGGCTGTGACAGACCTTTCTTTGTTTCGTGGGGTTTTGCTGGCTTGTACTGGGTTGTGAACCGGCAGTCTGTAGCGTCTACCGTCTGGGGTGGGTGAGTGATGGTCTGCTTTGATTTTCGTCACAGGTACCCTTGAGGGTAGTGGTTGGTGCCCACCTCCCTGAGGGTATCGGTCATCGGCAGTGGCCGATGCCCAACTCCTGCCAGGCTTAAGGTGGGTTATCATGACTTGAGCAGTATCATCGGTTCGGGGACTGTGCAGACTCTTGAGGATTCAAGCGCCTGTCGAGTTGGTGAAACACCGACAAAACAGTCTGTGGCAGCTCCCTTTTTCTTCTCCTTTTCACCAGTGGTTGTTTCTCTGTGACTACATAAACATACACGTATACAACCATTTTTTGTCCTTGTATCCGTAATCTGCATACAGTCCACCTTTATGTATACATGCGTTGCACATTGCATACAATCGAATGCAGAATTGCACATGCAGCATACCACCGCTCAGCACCTCATGCCCTCTGTTATCGCTGATTAACAATGTGTATGTGTAAAAGAGTCCCGACCTCTGCACCCTTATTACTTCTTTCCCAAGCTATTATGCCCGTCATACCCTTGTAGGTGACCCTTCATGAACCCTTCATGACCCCTCGTTCAGCTATTAATCTGTTCCTCTTTATGCTTCACCCCACCTTTCCCTCTCTTGAGTCTCTTCCATGAACTGGCACCTTTTTCATGACCACCCTTTCTTCCATTTTCTCCCCAACCTTCCAAGCCTTTACCACTGCCTCGTGACACCCCTCATATAGAGGATGGGACTATTACCTGGAGTAATGCGTTTCGAGAAATGGGACCCCTCAATTCGCATCCTATTTTTTGAGCTAAAGATTGATAGATGCAGACATGTAGGTACTTTTGGTTGGACTACCGTGTTTCTCTGTTTTAAAAATAGCAGGCTGAAACTCTGCCGAATCGCTAGTTTGAAATTTTGAATGAATTGCGACAATGCACAATGTGAAGGACCCGGTCATTTTACAGAGGAAACTAATGAGTGGGGCTATCTTTCTTCTTGCAGGGATGGCGATGAGGACTCTGCTGATAACCCAAGACGCAAGTCACAGAAGGTGGAATATGAATCAAATGCTGCAAATCGCCATCCATATTTCCGAGCTCGGCAACTTCAGCAAATTACCACCCAGTTGTAATTCCACAATGTTTAAATCAACAAAAGATTCTCTCTTTCTCTCTCTCTCTCTCTCTCTCTCTCTCTCTTTGTGTGTGTGTGTTGGGGGGGGGGGGGGGGGGGGGGGGGGGGGGGGGGGGGGGGGGGCGCTTATGTAACTTAATGTTTCTTCTCCAAGGCTATCTTTTTTCTGTTGTGTGTGAGGTTTTGGGGGGTGGCTGAGGGAGGTCCCATATATCTGATGGTGAGCTTCACTGCAACCTTACTCCACTGTCTACTACATTTTCGTCAATCAATACCCCACTCATGTTACTGACGACCAGTTTCGCGACAGCCATGCAGGGCAAGACCGACATGGTTC